CCCGCGCATCCCACCCCAGCGCCCTTCCTTCCTTTGCCACCCTTAGGCTCCTGCGGACCCCTCAACTCCTCCCCAGGTTTTGGCACTTGGGCGTTAGGATCCCTCCCTTAGTCCCCAAACAGCGCCGGACGCTAGGGAGAGGCACAGGCTCGTGGACCGACCGCACCCACGTGGTCCAAGCCCCGGGGGTCCCGGCTGCAGCTTCTCGCTTCCCCTGCGCCCAGGTTTGCTGGAGATCAAGGCGGTAGCTCTGCGGACCGTGGCCATCAAGGGCGTGCACAGCGTGCGGTACCTCTGCATGGGCGCCGACGGCAAGATGCAGGGGCTGGTAAGTGTCCCCACGGGGCGGATGCGCCGGGGCGGGGGACCAACGTCTGTCCCCGGGCGGAGGCCTGAAGGAGAGAAAGGCGCTGGTTCGAATCCAGGGTTTCCTCACCTCCTCGGACCAGACCCGTGTGCAACTTCGAGGGAGATTGCAAAGACCGATTAAGTGCATGTCCGACGATTTTCTACTGAAATTTAGGGTCTCAGCCAGTAGCCAGAGAATAGGCAAAAGCTGCCTTTGCATTTGCAATTGAGTCAAAGGCCGGCCCAGCCGGACCGAGGAAACCCATTATTCGGCCTCCTTTGATATTAAACAGGAAAACCCACCTCGGGCCTTTTCAGCCTCTGCCTGCGCGTGTGTGGTCCTCGCCTCTGTTTCCCTCCCTCCAGTATAAAAAGAAGAAAAAAAGAACAGGAAAGAAAAAAGAGGGTCTACCCATAACTTTCCTTTAAAAACAAATCAATTGTCCAGCAAGACAGAACACAGCGCATTTGGGATAGGCGAGTTTTTTTAGAATTAATTTTTAATCTACCAGGAGCACGATGTGGCTTAGACGCAGATGCGCTGGAGTCAAGTTGCGCCAGAGGCGTGCTTTTCCTCCTGCGGGCCTCACCTGTCCTGTAAACGCTTTCTGGTGGGGGCAGGGGGTGGCGGCTGGCTGGGAAGGCCCAGGTAACCGCAGAGGTCCCGGGGCCGGAAGTGTACGAGCGCTGGGGCTCTGGTGGCCCTGGAACAAAGGCTGGGAGTTCAAAGGAACGAACCCGCGCCCCTCCCGCGGCCCCGCGCGCAGAGGAGGCTGTGTGAGGTCTCGGC